GTGTCATAATCAGAGATAGTGATAATGAGAGATACTCTGCTTCAGTTCAAACTCAGCCCGGATGCTAATTTCTAACAATTATCATTGCGAACCAGGTATTGTAATTTTTCTACTTCTTCTCCAGTATGGTTCATAATATATGCTAATATGCATATCTCTCCTTTGAATTTGCCTTCAACATGATACCGTGCCTCAGAAGTGGTATAATGTCTCAGCAATGTGTCAGGCTTTTTAAAACCTTGGTTCTTAATAATTATATATTCCAGCTTCAGGCTGCAAGCCTATGTAGTTATGTGATTATTTATTTTCTCTGTTGACTGATTGATGTAGGGCTTTTTTTAATCCCACTTTTCTTTAATTAAAACACAAACATCTTACAGACACACCAGGACCACTGAAATCAGCAAGATGTATGTATACTTAACTGTGTAGTGATCTGCAGGTAACTTCTTTTAAAATATCTCTAATCATTTACACTAAAAGAAAGAACTAAAGCAGGAAGTTATACACACACCACACACAGTGCTTTTTTCTAAAAAAAAAATGTTTAGGGGCACTCTCATTTTGACTCAAGAAAATCACCATTTTATAGTTCAAATCGGGGAAAATAAATACAGTAAATGGACAAAAGTACACAGATTTACAAAATGTTTAGGGGTATGCGTACCCCTGCGTACCCCCCAGAAAAAAAGCACTTTTGTGTGTGTGTGTGTGTGTGTGTGTGCGCGCACACACACACACACAAACACACACATATATATATACTTGATAAATAGATAAGATGCCAAGCTAATTTTTATCCATTCTTCATTTGAAAGAAAGATTGTCTCATACAATATGTGTGGTTAGAAAAGTCTTAACTGCAGCTCAGGTCCAGTCACAGGGAACCTCACACATAACAATTGGCAGCACACCCCCATTTTCATTATAAAGCACGTCCAACTTGTATAATCTGGTCTGCGCGAACACCGGGATGTAGATGTATGTTCAAATGAGCATTTTCATTTTCATTGACTAGGTGCCTAGAAGGTTGATTCCACGAGTGGATTTCTCTTGTTCCATTTTCCCCGTTTGCGTGTTCAGACCCAGAAACCTTCCCCCCTAAATAAATTCACACTTGACTCAAATTTTTGTTTTGGTTTTTGGCAGAGTTTAGGCCACAACTTTATTGATTACAGAAAGTGACTGGTTGCATAGGCTCTGGTTCGACTAGCTCCCTGCCTTGCAGGTAGCGCTGACCCAGGGCACCAACATAGGTCAGCCCAAGGGTGAACACCTGGATAAGCGGAAAGCCAGGAACAGGCTATCTCTGCCGCCCAAATGCCCCCCCCACTCAGGCATGGGCACAACCTCCTCACAGGGGATGACCAAACCATCAAGTCCCTGGATTCCTTTAATGGAATACCCTTCACATAGGGATGGCGAGAGCATTCTCCCATCCCTATCACCTGAGCCAGAGCCTATCTGCAACCTTACAAGTTGTGACGATTTCCTACACGGCAGGCAAAATCCAAATGGCAACAGCCAATCAGCTAAGTGGGGAAAATTCCTGCCATGCCCCTGTCCCAATGACAGACGACACACGATGGCATAGCAAGGTCAAGCGCAAAGCCCTAAAAATAGGGAGAGGTGGGCACGAGGTCCGATGCACGAGCCGAAAGAGGAAGCTCTGGGTCACGTGCATAGGTATATATAGGTCCCTCGAACTGTTTGGACTGCATCCCATTGGCCAGATTGCACCCAGCTACAAGGGATTTACCAATCGGGTGTTGTGGCTGACCAACCATACCGACCCACAACACAGGGTGTCGGTTTCCAGGTCTCACCGCAATACATGCCCTCTTCAAGGGAGGACCTGATATACCATATGAACTAGCATCTTGCATTGCACGGTGAACTTTGAATGTCTGCTCAGAAAATTCTAGAATTGCTTTGGTTCCTCTTACCACTGAATTGTCGGGAACTAGTGTGTCGAACTACACATTTATCAAAAAATGGTCCATTTTGCTCTGTATTGTTAGCGCTGACTTTGACACTGTTAGCAGACACTGGAAATGAATCAGTAGATATTGGAAACGAAGGAAGATTTTTCCCGAGAAATTAGAAAGCCAACGGTGTAAAAGCTCTTATCATTTCACGGAATCAAAGGCTTGAAGGAGAACTGGAAGGGACACGAAGTTCAGCTTCCCCTCTTTATTTGTTCTATGCCTGGAACATCTGCACATCACATTTTCCCTTTACCAAATAACATTCTTTCACAGAACATAAATGCGAACTATGCCAAGACTCTTGTCATCGTCATTCCTTAGAATGTCTATGAATTTTCTATTTCCTTGGTGGAATTTACTTTGCAGACCAGTTGAAGTCAAGCTACCCATGACTCCTAACATTTAATGCCAAAGAAACAAACAATGCTGTTTCAGCCAACAACATATTATTGTTACCTTGTTACCACACTGGTATGAATACATCTATCCTTGAAAATGGGGGAATAACATTTGTATCTTTAAGCTTTCCACTTTAAATTGTTTTGCAAGGAGCATAAAGCTCTCATACATCACCATCCAAAATCAAATACTAAACAGTATAGCTACCTGTCAAAATGTTTTAAAAGCCAGGGCAATATGACCAAAGCGACTAAAAACTTTTAGAAAATGTCCACCTTTTTAATCTACTATGATTATGTCTATAAATAAAGCATGGCGGACGAGACGGGCGAGGAATTATGAAAGCGTAGTTGACAAGGATGGAGCCTTGTGTTGAATTCTCACCATTTCTATTGTGGATAAGAGTTTGCCATCTATTTGGCAAAATTCATATCTTTCTGAAAGGAGCCACCAAAAGTACTTGTAGTTTTTCTGTCACCTGTAAAATTATAGCAGTGTTGATAGTTAATAATGAACTGCCCTTTCAGTGTACCCTGCCTATGTGCCGGATTTGAAATTTTGATTGGACCTAAAATACCCTAAAATACAAAAATGTTTTTAACATGAGAACTTCTATTCTCGTGCGTGCGAATGCTGCACTTATAGATGAAGAGTCAGATATAATTAAGAGAAGGTATAACCTAAGAAGAACGGCTTCCGTTAGGTGCTTTATGATCAGTAAATGAGCAATACAAAGATTTTGTCCATCCACGGCGTCATGCCTATTAGCCGGTATTTTTTATATATATATGTCATCATGACATGACTTACATTTGACAGTTTATATATCACTGGAATCCGTGTTGTGATGTTTGTATATTTCTTGCTTTCTTCTTAGTTCTCAAGTGATCCTGTAATAATCCCTAAGCCCTTGTAGTCACATCGTCTGTCTACCGACAGTGGCCTGGTTCCCATCACCCTTTCCGAGGTGCTATAAGTGCTGTAAGCTATGCATGCTTAGAACTTACACTAACCACAGCTGGGTGAGAGCCATCCTCTCAAAGGTACTATTACCAGGGTTTGTTTTCTCAGCCAAAGCTCACAGGAGCTCAGTTCCAGCACCTCTGAGGTGGACGCCATTGCCATTCTAAGAGAAGAAGGGAGAAGTTTGTGATGAGCTCCGCCACCTCTTTTTCTAGAAAAAGACGACTACCGCACTGACTACCACCACTAGCAATTGTATCTTGCCAACCATAAAGCACAAATATTGCACAAGTTTCTGGAATCGGGTGGATTTTGTGGGCAACAAAATACTTATATGACAGAGAACAGCTAGTCTGAGGCACAGTGTCAACTTACATGCCTCCCTCATTGTCAAATAGCACACGGTATGTTCTGAAAGGTAGCGATGAAGATCTTATTTCACCTCATGTGCTGTGGTCATTTTAATATGGGAGAGGGGAACATCGCCCTTTTTGGAGATGCTTCTTAATGAACCCACTTGTTGTAATTACCATCGTCAAACAATCCCCACACCTCTCATGTCTGCCAAAAGCACGCAGTCAAGATAGATATTTAACAAGATATTTAATACAAAATTACAACCAGTGGAACTACGGTTAAAGGTTTGCACATTATAGCACTACTTGGAATACTGTCGCTTTTCCCTTTGAAATCAACAGAGCTATCTCTCTCTCTCTCTCTCTCTCTCTCTCTCTCTCTCTCTCTCTCTCCATATCTATAAAATTTTTGCTTAGTCCTTTAGGATACAACAAATTAATGTTGCTGAAAAGCAGTACAGTTACACAGCAAATAATTTATTGTTTGACAGAGTGATTTTTCAACCAGGTAACGGAGCACACATTGAAATCTCTAATTGCTACAAAGTAAGCCATCAGTCTCACCACAATGCCTTACATTCTACCTGGTTAGAGTACACTTTTAAGAACACTGAAATATGTCTCAGCCATATTGGCCTAGAAATACCCTGGGATTTTTGCTCTGCACCTAAACTATCAGCGTGCTGAAAAGAAATAATGTTAAAAGTGGCTGAAAGACTGTTATGTAAAACAAGACTGCATTTTATCTGCACCAATTGGAAAAAGAATATTCAGGTTTGCAAAATATGACAAATACTGCAAGCTGTGGCTTTTTCTCCACCAAAAACCCCAAACCACACACATACACTTGCAAATGAAACAGACACACACACACTGGAGATATTTCATGCTTGAAATACGGCAAAGGATAAGCACAGGTTCAATATGAATAAACTCTTGCTTCTTCTATTAAACCCGACATATGAGAAATCATTATGCACAATAAATTTGCCCTATTCTGGGGGAGAGGGAAACTGAAGACTTTTGCTTTAGAAATATTCCTTTCCCACTGTTTTAAATCATGTTAACTGCCAACGAGTCAGCATGCATGCTTCCTTAATTAAAACAAATTAATGTGGATTTCTGACAACGTCTTTCTGCTCTTAACAATCTTTGCAGTGCTTCCAGAAATGAAATGTGCCAAGAGAAAACCTTCCAGCCTGCCTACCTAGCTGCTGAAATAAGAAAAAGGTTCCCCACCACCACCACCCTCCAATTGATTAAAACAATAGAATGGAAAAGAAAACAGACCAACCTTCACAATGTACGTCACTCCAGGTCCCAGGATCTTCTCGTTCGAATGCAGCCACCCTTGGGAGACTTTGCTGGCAATGTTGCTCCCTTGATTCCAGTCTTCGCCTCCCAGGTTCATTTCCTCTGACCATGTTTTTTTCCCTGTGTTCATCTTGCTCTTGTCCTGCTGAGAAGATGGAGTGGCAGAGGCAAGGTTACATGTGTTGTCTGAAGCCTCTGCTGCCGAGCTCCCCTGCAACTTGGAGGCAGCAAGCTCCTTCACTGCAGACGAGAGGTTCTTGATGCCCGAAAGGCTGCCTGAATGGGAGAGTTTCAGGTGGGACACTTTGTGCATGAGAGTGCAAATGGCGGTGGGATCCATCTTGGTCCTTCTGGAGAACCTCAGGAGAGACCAGGTACGGTGATGGTGTTGACGTTGGACCAATTGATGAGACCTTGCTGTTCATGGACAAGTTATGGATAAGATCGTCAACCGATGTCACCGAATCATTCCTGAAGCGGTTATATTTGGTACGTTGAAGCATTCCCTTCTATCACGAACCTTGCATATGTTCTGACAAACCAGGGAACTCCTGTGCTAACATAGCAGGTGATCCAGAATATCAGCGATGGATGGTGCACATTTGGCAATGGGGCAAGATAATAATAATTTTTAAATTGCTATGAATTTTTTAAAGGGATTTTTGCTTAAGGTTCCATGGTCAAGCTGGGTGCAGCGATAGTTTTCTGTGCAAGAGAACGATCCCAGTCCTGCTCAGAGCTGCCAAGTCTCTCACAGCAGAAGCATGACTCACACAAATGAGAAGGACCCTTTTCAACAAAAGGCTCAGTGAACGCTGCAAATCACTTCCTGTAGGGGGAAAAATCCACCCACTTACAGCACACTACCACCAATCAATTCTCAAATTTCCTTTTCCTCTCTTAAACAGATTCTCCCCCATCTTTCCTTCCTACCCCATTTTTGCAACCATAGGTGAGTGCCTGCAATAGTTCCAAGTATAACTGCGTTAACCTCCCCACCACCACCCGAACTACTTTTTCATTTTCATTTCCCCCCCTTCTGTCCTGTTCTGATGACTTTATACAGCATGCCTTAGTTAGGCAGGAATAAAGTAACAATTTCATGAACAACGTTCAGGCAAACCCACCAGCATACAAATACCTGTAAAGGCTTCCATAATACACAGGAGGATTGCAAATTCTGTGTGGGTTGAGAAATTTATATGGTAAATAATCTAGTCTTTTCCTTTCAGGTAAGCATTAAAATTGTGCTGCTGCTCTTTACCATAATTGCCACATTGCAGTTTTTCTTTAAAAACTGTGATGCCATTATGCTTTTGCTTTTTTCATTTCCAAGAGGGAAAATATCTCTGGGAGGGTTTTTTAATGCAGCGTTACACTAAAAACTTTTGGCTGAGCAAAAAATGCACCCACCCGTGTGTTTGGTGGCGGGGGGGGGGGGAGTGTGGCAGTGGCAAGAGGCTTCTGAAACAAGGTTGCTTTTTCTCTCACAATTTAATGCAAAGGAGATCTTAACTTTACCTCTCAATACTAAATTTAAATCTTGAAAGCTAAGAAATACGGGAGGATTCTTCAAGAGTACTTAAGGCAATGAGCTGATGCCTCGCTTTCAAAAATGAACATGAATACAAAAGGAAATGCTTCAATGCAGTCATAAAATACACTTACTTGAAAAGATCCTCAACTCACACACCAAATCCCCTGATTTGTTGCAGGCATGCAAAATTTAACATTAGTCTGACAACCCAATATTAACCACACACTAAAGGACTGAGGTTTGTTTAAGCAGTGTATGGATTTCAATTACTTATGCTGCAAGAAAACAGATTCAGAATGGCACCGCAACTTTTTGAAAAGCAGATAAATAAAACTGCAACATGCAAGTCAACAAATTTCCCAGAGGGTAGCCCACACTCCTTTTTCGTACTAAAGGCTTAAGTACGGAAAATGCATCAACGCAGTAGCATGCTTCACTGCACGTATTTTATGAGAAGAATTCATGATACATAAATGAAGGCAGCACCTCTGATCCCAGTAGCGATGAATGGAAATGTCCTATTCATTGTAAAAGCAGGTTTCTAGTGATCTGCAGAGTTGCTTTTCAGCACACTGCAAACCTGCTACAACATCCAAATTGCATTCATTCCACACCCCCCCCACTCCGCCCCAGCTTCCTCCTGCTACCCTAGCAACAGCAAATATACATCGTATAGATCATTTCTGGTCTTGTGTTCAGCAACAAGCCGGAATCTCTGTCATTCAGAAATGATTCCCTTCATTAAAAGTAGATTTTTTTAAAAAACAAAAAAACCTGGAAAATGTGAATGGAATTCTCTGTATATCTGAATGAAAGAGCTGGCTAGCATAGCAGCATTTCTGTGAATGAAGCCCGGCCTTGCAGCCTCTGCCAGGCAATCCCTTGGATGCTAAGTATCTCAGCCAATAAGAAACAGTCTGGATGACTCATTCAACAAAGACTCTCTAAATAGTGGAATCTTCCATTTCACACACAGGTAGAATTTATATATACATATACACCAACTTCAAAAGATATAAACATGACCTTCAACTCAAAAATACACACTTGTTTACAGAAGGTATTTCAAGCGATTTTTATTTTGTTTTATTTTTTACAATGTGTATTTGTACTGTTTGGGTGGTGATGTGTTTCACCCCTCAAATAGTCATTCAGTTGGTTTAGGCGTCCTGAGGATAGGAACGTGATCATACATACTTAGATGCCTATGAATTCACATCGCCAGGTACACTGGGCAAAATTCGGTCATGGGTCAGCTCCCTTGTAAAGAGAAGCTAGAATGTTTGGTACTTTTCAGTTTAGGGACAAAAGGTGGTTAAGGACAAAAGTGATGTTAATAAAAGGATGCTTGGTGTTGGGATAATGGATAGAGAGAAGTTATTCTCCCTCTCTCATAATATTAGAACCTGGGTCATTCAGTCAAAATGACTGGTCCAAGAGTCGAAGCAGATAAAAGGAAATATTCTACATGGTACATTGTTAATTTATGGCATTCAATGTTTTGAAGGCAAGTACAGATGTCAAAGAGAACAACAACTACCAGACTTTTAGAAGACATCTGAAGGCAGCCCTGTTTAGGGAAGCTTTTAATGTTTAATAGGCTATTGTATTTTAATATTCTGTTGGAAGCCACCCAGAGTGGCTGGAGAAACCCAGCTAGATGGGCGGGGTATAGATAATAAATTATTATTATATCAGGAACCATGGGGGAACCACCTATTGGTGGTTTACCCTTACAGGACTCCCTGCAGGAGTAAGATACAGTCTGTTCAATTTCCAATGCCTAAGCCAATACTGCTCACATTCTGTAACCAATAAAGTTGTGGCCTAAACTTTGCCCATTAACCATTAACCTAATATACTGTGTACATGTGTCATTATTCTTCACGGGGCGGGGGGCTTGGGGTCTTGACACGCAAGTGGTCCCCACTGGAGAAGTGGTATGGCCCTGGCCCCCGTCTGGGCATGGGCAGGGTCCACTCTTTCTGGAGCCTTTGAACAGGATACAATCACCCCTCTAACCAAGACTAAGCTTACCCAATGCCTATCTGCATTACACAAACAAAAATGAAATATTTTACAGAGTGGTTTTTTTTATGTTGGATCCTTTGTAGTCCAGAGAAAGATTGGGCTAGGCACACGCCCACCCTTTTTTTGCAAGGCAGATTATAGAACATCAGAGAAAATTAATCCATCATGGCCTCGATATGGTTAAAATGTGCTGCCTCTTTATGGGGGCAAAATATCTCTGCCATTCAATTTTTGCCTTTTATGCAGCTGTTAAAGACCCAGGCACTTTTCTGGAATCATTCCCACCCCCACTCCCCATTAAGATTGGTAAATGACAACTCTCTAAGACAGATTTGGGGAAACTTTGGCCTTCCAGATGCTTCTGAACTACAACTCCTATCATCCTTGCCTGTTGGCCATGCTTGCTATGGCTGATGGGAGTTGTAGTTCAGCAACATCTGGAGGGCCATATATTCCCCACGCCTGCTCTAAAGCTCAGATGCCTCTCAAAAATTTGTTGTTGTTGTTTAGTCGTGTCCGACTCTTCGTGACCCCATGGACCAGAGCACGCCAGGCACTCCTGTCTTCCACTGCCACCCACAGTTTGGTCAAACCCATGCTGGTAGCTTCGAGAACACTGTCCAACCATCTCATCCTCTGTCCTCCCCTTCTCCTTGTGCCCTCCATCTTTCCCAACATCAGGGTCTTTTCCAGGGAGTCTTCTCTTCTCATGAGGTGGCCAAAGTATTGGAGCCTCAGCTTCAGGATCTGTCCTTCCAGTGAGCACTCAGGGCTGATTTCCTTAAGAATGGATAGGTTTGATCTTCTTGCAGTCCGTGGGACTCTCAAGAGTCTCCTCTAGCACCATAATTCAAAAGCATCAATTCTTCGGCGGTCAGCCTTCTTGATGGTCCAGCTCTCACTTCCATACATCACTATTGGGAAAACCATAGCTCTCAACAATTACACTAAAGATAATACCAATAAGAAAAAAAATTGGCAACCATAACAGATGGAACAGTGGTCCAAAAGATCAAGAAGCCAAACTTGTCTGTGGAAGAACTAGGTTCAGTTTCCATGTTGACAGCACCATAGATTCAATATGTGGCCTTGGGCAAATGACATTCTGCTCCGCTTTGGTTTACCATCTGTAAAAGAGGAAAAGGCAGCAACCTGCCTCGTAGGACACCTGTGAACACAATACTGGAAAGCGCTTTGCAAAAGAATAAATACTGCCATTTGAGAGGATGGTAAAGGTGGTTATCGATGCATGAGGCTGCAGAGACTTCCCTGGCAAAAGGAAAAGAACAAGGAAATGGAGAATTGTCACTACGAAACTCTAATTCTGTCTACCCGGATCCTCGTAGGTTACCAAAAATTGATCTGCACGTCACAGTGGATGACTACTGAACATTTCAAAAATCGATTTCTTTTCTCTGTGCCTTAATAAGAGCTGAACTATCTACCTGAGCCTCCTGAGCACTGGAAAAACAGAGTTCACATGAACCTCTGGTGAGTTCTGTGGGGTGGGAAATGAGTGTTGACCATCATTGATGACTCCTGACTTTTAAGCAATTATTATTATTATTATTATTATTATTATTATTATTATTATTAAATAAAGCGAACGCAAGCCCTCAGTCATTTTGATGTTACTATTCCTTTCTGCCCACGCACAGCACATTTCATCTGACACACATGCACAGCCATGTGAATTTCCAAAGGCGAATCAGAGCCGCCATCGGCATCAGGAGAAAAAGCTGTTGCTGTTGGGCGTTCTGATTCAAAGCATTCCTGAGAAAACGAATTCATGAATGGGCTCGCAGCATTCAGATTTCTCTACCCTGGACGTTTGGGTTTATTCTCATTGGATGAGAAGACACCGAACAGTTCTTAGGCTACTGCAACAGCAAGAAGCAAGAAGAGGATGGGAAGACAACATTGCCTTTCTCTTGTCTCGCTAATTCAGACTTCTGTATTACAATAAAGCAGCCTTGCAGCCTCCCCCTTTATATGCACTGTATCCATGGCAATTTTGTTGCTATGGGTGGGCCCGGTACACACATCGCTGCCTTATCTGGCTTGGGAAGTTGCTCCTCTAAACGGACAGATTAGCAAGAACTGCAGCACAAATGCGGCACAGAATCCTTAGATCTGGCCTTGCAAGCCATTGTCAATGGCTCCGACGCCTTGCTGAGGTGTGGGCTCACGCTCTGATTCCAATTCCTGGGAGATAAACCATCACACCAGCAACGAACGCACGTGCTCCATTTTAACGCAATGGCTGTCACAATGGCCCGGAGGCTTGAAAAAGAGCTTTGCCATTCACGTGGCAGCTCCAAAACAGGAAGCACAAGTGAGTTGTAGTTCCCATGCTTTGTATCCTGTGTGAGGTACACCGGCCTGTGGAACACACTGAGACTCAACATACATTTCATCAGCCTCTCTCTGTGACACACTATTGTACCATTTCAGGGTTCAAGAAAGAAAACAGAAGAGCTTGTAGCTCCTAGGGCTGCACGTGCACTGTAAATTTAAAGGACGTTTAATAATAATAATAATAATAATAATAATAATAATAATTTTTATTTATACCCCGCCCTCCCCAGCCAAGGCCGGGCTCAGGGCGGCTAACAAGCAATAATAAAAACAAGTGAAGGGCTTTAAAGGTCAAAACCAGCACCTTAAATCTGACCCTGTACTCCACCGGGAGCCAGTGCAGCTGGAAAAGCACTGGGTGAATGTGCTCCCATGGCAGAGACCCCGTGAGGAGCCTTTCTGCAGCATTCTGCACCCGCTGGAGTTTCTGGGACAGCTTCAAGGGCAGCCCCGCGTAGAGCGAATTACAGTAGTCAAGCCTGGAGGTGACCGTCGCATGGATCACTGTGGCCAGGTCGGGGCGGGAAAGGTAAGGGACCAACTGCTTGATGCGGCGAAGGTGGAAAAATGTCGCCTTGGCTGTTGCTGTAACCTGCGCCTCCATGGAAAGGGAGGCATCAAGGATTACACCCAAACACATGACTTCCCCCAAAGGATCCTGGGAAGTGTAGTTTACTTTTCACTTCCCAATATTCTTTGGGGGAAGCCATATGTTTAAAATGTATGGTGCATAGACAGGAAAAGAGATGGCCCTGCCACTCTAAGGGGCAGCCTTTTCTGCCTTCTGGGCAACTGGGGAGTGACTGAGTTTCACTACAGTGGTACCTCGGGTTAAGTACTTAATTTGTTCCGGTGGTCCGTTCTTAACCTGAAACTGCTCTTAACCTGAAGCACCACTTTAGCTAATAGGGCCTCCTGTTGCTGCCACGCTGCCGGAGCACGATTTCTGTTCTTATCCTGAAGCAAATTTCTTAACCTGAAGCACTATTTCTGGGTTAGCAGAGTCTGTAACCTGAAGCGCATGTAACCTGAAGCATATGTAACCCGAGGTACCACTGTATTTCCATCCTGCTCTAGATATAGGTCATCAG